CAGTTAAGCTACTTTAATTGAACGCCGCAGATTTATACACACGGCAATCGTGTGCATGCAAGTACTATTTTTCAGCTTTCATTAAAGTAAGCAAATTTTAGGACTATTAATTGTTATTCGCTTTAAGCTGTCCGAGATTTCTGACGAACTTTTCGCCGTCCTGCATATAATTCAAGGTTCCGTCATAAGTTTTCACAGTTTTTTTTGCTTCATAATTATAGCGTTTTCCCCCCTCATCAAATGAAAGGAAATTAAAGTTGCGTGTTCGTTGTCTATATGCACATATTAGTACATAGCATACACACACACACATAGCAACAAAAATACAAATTTGCATTAAATACCGAAAACTACTTGCAAAACTTATAACCAGTCTATAAAATGTAGCAAGACATGGGGTAGAGAAGAGCATAAGCATCACGGTAGGGGGTAGTGGAAAAAAGTAAACTTTCAGTCAGCAAATTTTACTAGTAGGTACGCTATCCAATTTTTGTTATAGTAATTTCATTAACCGTCGGCAAATATGTTTTGTGGCCCGTATTCAAACATGTAAGGATAAATTTTTGTGCACATAAAATTACAAGGATATGCACTGGTTTTGGTGAACGATTTTAGATTTATAGATCGCAAATATAAATATTTGCAAAGAGATAATGCTTTCGAGTTTTCTAGATTTTATTATAAAATTAGATCTATAAAAGCAAATAAATGCCGAGATTATATTAAAAAAAAAAATAAAAAAATGAATGACTTGAAAAAAATTGGCGGGTAATACAATCAAATAGGAGAGACTAGCTATCTAAATATGAGTACGTGTATCAAAAGCTTTTTAAAATTATTGGTTTATAGAAAAAAAAGTATGAAAAAAATGTTTGATTCAAAAACGGTCACTCCTTAGCCCACTGTACACCAATTATTAGAAGAGGGGGGCGTAAAAACTAACGTTTAACTTATGTTTAGCATTTAGGCATTTGTCATGCACCTTTTTTTATATACATACCTAACTACTAATTCAGAGGGTGGTTCTTGGTGAGATTCCTTTATATGTATGTATATATGTACGATAAATGCAGGAATATTTTATTAATGTATGCGTGCAAACGGCACGTGACGCCTTAGCGTTTGTACAACAACTTCTGAGCGTTGGACGTGCACCTTTTATACGCTTGAATGCTTTCGATCAGGTGCCGTTCAATAGGCAAACTCCGTTCTGCGTCCGTTTGATGTGGTGTACTTGTATGTATTGCCTATGCTTTTCTCAACCTTCTAACGGATATTGGAATTTTTTCGTACGTATCGACTGCCGTGCAGGTCTTATTTATATTTTTTTATGTGGTTTCTAGTATTGCAGACCCTTCCGGTTAATTTAGAATTATGCATAATGCACATGTTTTAGCTTTCAACTGTCATGAAAGGGGTGATTGATTTTAGTAATCGATTAGGTTTGTAGAATAGGCTTTAGATAAGTGGATTTTATATTATACGGATATTTTCTTTTTTAATTTCAACAAATCCAAAAGCCAGAAAAGGCTTCATTGCCCATCAATATAAAATGCTGATGGGCAGCGCCTTGCCTGCGCGTAGAGCTTTCATAAGATTCTTATACTTAGTTACATTTGTATTGATAAATGTATTAAAATCTTCAAAAAGTTTGGTACGGACATCTTTGAGGTGATCATCTCTGATCTGAAAAAACGTGCGTGTCAGCGCAGAAAATCGAGAATATTCCCTGAATTTAAATCAGCTAAAGAATCTATAAAGTATGTACTTTCTAAAGAACTGGTTGCTCGTTTTAGCCAAGGCGGAATAATGGCAGAGATAATATTCCACGCTCTTAACGGTCGTCGTCTCTGCAGTTACACAAAAAATCGGAACAGCCGAGACCTATGAAAGCTTTCAATCACTTTTCATCAACTTTGGGACAGATGTGCTCTGCAGTCTAACAGATGGGTTCCGCGATTCACCGGGGGTTTACCTCCTTGATGAAGGTAATTTTCTATTTGTGTTTGTAGGAGGATAGCAGTATGACCACTTCCCGGGCAGAATTCACCCCGAATATTTCTGTCCATTTTTTTGCTAGTTCGTAGGCCACCCAACGGTTAATAATCATTTTTATGCCAGCTGGTTGAGAGCCCCTCTACACTTAATGGCTGCCTAGTATGTTATTCCGTTAGATTTTACAGATTTAAAAGCAGCCTGTCTTTCCGAATAAATTGTTGATACTATGCCGCTGTGAAGGAGCGGATGCTATCAGCCACAGGGCGGCCACTTTTATTTCGCCTGAATCGCGCTACCTACCCTGTCGCTTAACTTAGAATCAACTGTATACAAGTAGCCGCCGACACTGAACCTATTTAGGTCTGTGCCACCTTTATCTTCGGTTCTCTCTGAAATTCTTACGGAGAATTTTCTGAGGAATGGTGTAGAATGATTTTCGTAAATTACTCGTAAGAATTTACAGGACCTTCGGATATACGAATCATAATCATAATCTAACAACAAAAGGCAACCCTCTCCATAATATCACTGAAAGCGATAAAAAAGGAAAATCCTCTGCTCAAAAATGAATAAAACTACAAAATATCTAAAACACACCATCACTCAACTGCCTGGACACTAAATTCAAAGCAACAAATGCTACACTAAATAACTTAAACACAAAAACAACACGAAACCAATTCAATATCAAACAAAGTTTAACGAAATTAAAGAGAGATACCACAACAACCCCTTTATCTACACAGATGGATCTAAGGTCGACAATAATGCAACGTATAAACTGAATTTATAAAAATGTCAAACCTTTCCTGCTATAGCTCAATATACACCGCAGAAATAATTGCCATATTCGAAGCAATAAACACAATAAATAGAAAAAACAAAAATATTGCAATATGCTTTGATATCATTTCGGCTATTAAATAACTCTATAGCAAACATATACAACGACGAATATTACTCAAAAATCATTAGAAATATTATGACAGCAAAATACCCTAAAATAATAAGTACTGATTTGGGCGCCGGGACACGCCAACATAACCGGAAATGAATTCGCCGACTATACCGCTAAACAAGCATATCGGACGACTTCGTCTTGGAATTACAACGACTACACACGGACATCTCTTGACAAACACTAACCCAAAATTAGGCCAAAATTACCATACCCCATATCCTCCCGCAATGCCCAATATACTTCACCCGCAGCAGAGAAGTATTTAGCAACACACACCCAATGATCCACCTATCTTCACCAACTTCTTATTCAATATCCTTAATCAAAAAAGTCCTTAAAATAACCAACCTATGCCATAGAAATTAATATACAAAGTACTGTAATTCTACACAAACATATTAAGCGTAAGCCGTCGATGGTATTGCTTTATTTTAAAATTATCTTGTAAGACTTACTCTTTAAGCCAGTTTTATAAATAAATAAAATAAATAAACGGATAGACCCTTCTTCTTTTAGATTGCCCAGTACTGTGGAGGATTACTTGAGATTTCTAGTGAAACCTTTATTTGTTGACCCAACCGAACTAAGTGGGACAATAATAGGGTTAAAATCTTCTCAACGACCATTAATCAATTTATCAGTTCCAGTCATTGTTAAGAATAGTTTCTATAAGTGTGGGGCCTGGCAAGTCTTGGCTGTAGTGGCATCGTTTACAAATTTATGATTCAATTGCCCTGCGCGTCTAAAGAAAATGAACCTTAACCTTAATGTCAAAGAATACTAAAGTACTGGCAAACCCGGGTCTAGGGTAAGCCCATTTTTTGTACCCATTATCATGATAAAAATTTCAAAAAAAACGTATTCATAAAAAAAAACTTTTAATTCAATAAAAAGGGTCCCAATATGATGTTGGATTGAACTGGGCTTGAACCCAGGCCCTGCCAAATGGTAGCGCGCACTGCTAACCACTACACCACAACGGCCGCAAATGATTAACCCCAGAACGATTACCCTACTGAGAGTTGCTGAATAGATAACCATACGTCTATGGGACGTATAATGGTTTGTTTGCCTTATTTTTATGGTAATAAAAATTGTATGAAAAATTCATTCAATTCAAAGAAATGAAGTCTTTGGATATTTATTTATTATTTATTTATTTATAAATATTTTCCATTTAAAATAGAAATACACCACCGATTTCAATCTTCATTTCGCGAAAAATGGAGCGAAACGTTTAAAAAGTATACGTCTCGCAGCCGTAGGTTATCAAAGCAGGGTTAAATAAGGTTTCAAAAAAGGAAAGAAAACGATAATAGGTACAAGACTAATTTCAAAAAAAAATCCACTTTTTGGAGTGATTTCCAACAAAGTTCCCGCGTAGAAGGAACATCGCTCGTCTAAAGTTTCACAAAGGGTTAAGTTTAGAAGAAAAAGCTGTTAAAAGTGAAACATTGTAGCTTCGAATGGAGTGTTTTAGGATATTTTTAGTTAGTCGCCACCTATGTAAGTAGTATGTATGTACGTATAAAGCTACCGCCCTATGAGCAAGGTAAAAATCTACAAATTTTAGTAGAGAAAACCTCAAAACTATAACTAGCCTGAGTGATTTTCTACACGTATCTACGAGAATATATTTACGTACATATGAATGTACATATGTGTGTACGTATGTTATTCGCTGAGTGCAAAAACTTTTCTGCTACCAAAAATTCCTTAACCTTTTCGCTGTTTCAAACTTGCGCATACTTTTGCCACTCTAACGTAAATAAATACATACTTTCGATTTGTTTAATTACATCCGTTACATTTTTGTTTTCTAAATATTTTAACTACTCTCATACCATCTCGTTCGCAGATATAGTAAGTAATATTAAAACAATTCAAACAATTCACACAAAATGGCGCCATAGCTCATGCATTGCTTGCTATTGTTGTATGCGTGTATTATTTTATTGTATGTATGTATTAAAAAGATTTATTTGCTAAATATTTACGTAGGTAGGTATGCACATACATAAATATGTAGAATTGTACTTACGATATCCATTGATATATTCCAGAAACCGTTAGTTCACCCTTATCTTCGAGGGCGTATTCGATGAGTTCTGTATACGTAAATGGTGGTTTCTTTGGCCTGATTTTGTGGCGGCAAATCCATGGTGGCGTGTGTGGGTTGGAGCGTTTGTGGTGAGAGTTGTACACATGTACGAATATGACGTCGCATTTTAGGTGGTTGAAATATGGCGCAGCAAAATTCATGTAATAAAATACAATACATAGTAGAAAATAAATACAATTTGGGGTTAATTTTTTCTTGCTCCATTTGGTACTAATACTTTTGAATAGTAAAGAAGTATTTAAGTACATATACACTGCCGGAACAAAGTATTGGCATAGCAAATTTTTCAAAATATAATATAATATAATTTCGTATAAAAATATGGTTCATTATACAACAAAAAACATAAAAATATAATTCCGAAACTTTGTGCACAACTCGCAAAAATTTTCATGAAAATTTTCAACTTTTTAATCAGATTTTTTAGAATTTTTTTGAGTATGCAGATTTGTAGCCCAATCATTTTAACTAGCTAGCAATTACCGTTGATTTTTGGAAATTTTTTTCACGCAGTCTCTTCCATACAAAAAATTTGTTTCGAAAATACTTTATATGGAAAAAATGCAAAACACCTTCAACGAAAAAAATTCTCAAAAATCAACGCGATTTTTGACTAACTCCGAACTTGCATTTTTTACTAGAATTTAATGGGCTGCATGCTCAAAAAAATTTAAAAAAATCTGATTAAAAAGTTGAAAATTTTGATCAAAATATGCTGAATTTTTGCGAGTTTTGCATAAAGTTTAGGAATTATATTTTTATGTTCTTTGTTGTAGAATGAACCTTATTCTTATATAAAATTGGCGGAGAAATATTAGAATAAAAATTGTTGCATATATTGTGAAAAATACTTTGTTCCGGCAGTGTACATATATGCATATATGTAGGTAAGGATGTAAACTGAATTTATCTACTTTTGCCACTAAAAAAAGTTTGAAAAAGAGGAAATGCAGCAATAGAAATATACTTGCATATGTATGTATTTCAAATGACCAAAACCGAGCATGAATTCAGGTGTCGCATATATAAAGTCCGTTTTCGCAAAAAAACCAAGACCTTATTTACGGGCCCTTTCGCAGCATTTGATACGAAACAAAATGGTTTTGAAAGCTAAAGTAAATCGCTTTCACGAAAAAATATTGCCATTGAGCCACAATTACCCCTTCACCTTAAAAAAATTGGTCAAAAGTAGTGTTCTTCGAAAAAAACATGCAAAATCCACGGGATTTATTCCACAACAAAAAAATGTATGTATTTTCTATTATACTAGTATTATAGATTTTGAGACGAGCAACACGATTCCTCTGTTCAAAATTCGAAAAAAAATTTTAGCACCTTAATTTAAAAAATGCATTGTTTATTGATTTTTTTTCTATTTGCATGCAGCTGTGCATCCTTCACTCAATTTTATATCCCTCGAACAATAAGTGCAATTCAAGACATTTAATTTGAGTCAAGGACTTTAGGCCGTCTAAGAGCCAAGTTATAACAATTTTAAATCAAACTTCGAAACTGCTGTGCTAGGTTTTACTCCGAAATTAGAAAAAAAGTGCGTAAAATGTCGAATGAAATTTCAGAATTGTAACAATTTAGCTCTCAAAGGGCCTAGAGATTTCTACCTTGGCTTAAATTAAAGGTCTTGAATAGCACTGAAACTGACTTGTTATTCGAGGGATATAAAATTGTGTAAAGGATGCACAGCTGCATGCAAATCATAAAAAATACAATATACAATGCATTTTTCAAATTGAGGGGTTGATTTTTTTTTTCGTTTTTTAAACAGTGGAATCGTGTTTCTCGTCTCAAAATCTATATATTAGTATAATAAAAAGTACAACAAATTTTATTTTTTTTTTAATATATCCGTTGGATTATGTATGTTTTTTTTCGAAGAACACTATTTTTGACCAATTCTATCAATATCATATTGCTTCTGTCGAAAGCGCTACGATAAATTGGCATGAAGTGTTTAAAAAGACCACTGTGTGCCGTCGAGTTACCTCGAATATTTTATTTTTCAGTCGAGAAATGTAATTTTGAAATTTTAAAATTACTACGGAGTATTTTTCTCAAAAACATATGACTCAAAACATTCGATTTCTAAAAATATAACTCATTTATAAACAATATATAACAAAATAAAATAAAATGTCTATCATACTTAGGCGTACAAAAAATCCTTTTAGAGCTGATATTTGGGGCAATATTAAAAAATATACTTATTTAAAAAAATTCGAAAAATTAAAAAGTTACAGAATTTTGAAGTTTAAAAAATCGGCAAAGCAAAAACATATACCAATTTTTGAATACAATACCTCTAACTAAGCTTAAAACATTCTGCAATTTTAAAGATTTTTTTTTTAACATAAGAGTTTTTGATCTTTGAAAAAAGAAATTTATTGCATACATACTAGTTAAAAATATTTGGATTTAAAAATTGTTAAAATAACTTAATTTTTTTTTGCTCTAAAGAAAGAGAAGCTCGGCCAAACACTAACATATGTGTAAGCGCCAATCTATTATTTATTATAAAGATTATTTTTAACTTGAAAATTCTGCAAATTTTTGAGTTTTTTAGTATTGTTTCTTTGTACCGCTAAATATCAGCTTTGAACCGAGACCAGAACCATTTTTAAAGCTATAATAGTTTTTGTGAACTTCCAAGAAAAATTTTGCGGATCCCGGAAATTGTGAACTTTAGAATTATGCATAACTTTTTTAATTTTTAACCCCCTTTGATAGAACTTAATTATATGAAAACAGAAAAGTTCTGACCAAAATTCATCCAAATCAAAATTGGTTTGACCTATGACCTTTCTTTGTTTGGTTAGGAAGAAATATCTGTAAACTTTCATTCCATCTCTAATCGAATACGGGAATGTAATAGGAATGTTTTGATGTTGGTTTTCTCGCAGCGCTTAAGAGGCTGATGCGTAATTTTTTGACCAGCAATTATTTGAGGTACTGTAATAAAATTGGGACGTCCTAATGTATGCTTAAAGGAATAATCGAAGCAAGATACTGATTCTTTGATTTTATGTAAGATCTTTTATCTAATCCGATTTAATCGTAAGCCCGTTACTTTTAAATGAACACAAAAGCAATTCTGTACGAGCTTTTTAACGACATGAACATAGTTAAGCCCAAGAATAACCAAGAAAAACCAAGTGCAGAAGGACCTGTCCGCACTTGGGATGAACAACTGGCACAAATCTGCAAAGGAGAGAGACAACTGACAAACGGTTGTAGTTGCAAATAAGAAGAAAAGATATTCATTGTTCGGATTCCGATACATAACAACACACTAATCTTGAGTCTAAAAATATATCAAGATCTTCTAAGTTAAGAGCACTAATTAATATAGAAACTTGTTTAGAGTTCTGATACGATTAGCTGTAGTATTTCACTCAAAGACTTTTTGGCGAATCTAAGTTTACAAACTGACTGAGTCAGGTCCATGGCACTTATTGTCTTTTCATTCAAAACACAAAAAGATTAAATATCCTCAAAACTTACGCTCTTTGCGGCGAGTTCTCGACGACCACATTTTCAGCGACTACCATATCGGCACCATCCACCTCTGCGGTCACCTCCATAACAAGTTCCTCAAACTTTTTACCAGCCTTTGTTGAACTTTTCGGAGAACGCGTGTAGTCACTAAACGGCTGCTGAATGCTCGAAAGTGGTGTCGCTGCCGAAAACGATGATTGTGGCGAGCAAGAGTTCGATTTGTGAGATGAACTAGGAGAGGAAATACTATTGCCTTGTTGTACGCCGGCAATTAATACATTCGTATTCAAGTTGTTATTGCTATTTGCACCCAAGTCCGGCGAAAGATGAGGAAATTCATCAAATTTAAAATTTAACAACCAAGAAAGGTTCTTATCCTCAAAGTCCGCCTCCGTATCGGCAGCCGTTGAGGTTTGTGGCATAGACTGTGGAATTTGTGGAAGCGCCTGATTGATAGACTGTTGCAGTGTTTGTTGTTGACGATACCTGTTAAGGTTTGCACTATGTACTGGTGATCTTGACACTTGCTTCTCGGGAACTAAAAACTGTGTTGGAGAGGATGATTGTGCTTGCTGCTGTTGTTGCTGTTGCTGCTGGTGCGGCTGTTGATGCGTGACCTCTTGACTTTGTTGTGCGGCATTGAGTGTGGTTATCTCTGTCGCCTTTAGCGGGAGTGTCGGATGTAAATGTGCGATTTCGGTTTGCAAACCCGAATTATAACGATGATCGAGTTCGAGCAGATCGCTTGCTTGCCAATTGCTACCATCATCGTAGTTGGTATTCACACAAACATTTGATGGTGCAGCAAAGGCTGGCAATTGGGAATCAGCGCCATTGGTACTATGACTTACCAGACTGGCTGTAACTGGCACAATTAAATTGGCATCGTAGGCGAATAGATCATTAATGAAGGAACTGTTGCCGGTTATGAGATTGAATGTCATATTGCTGTTGTTGTTGCTACTATTATTATTGCTACTATTGTTGTTGTTGTTGTTGTTGCTGTTGTTGATGATTGCACTGTTGTTATTTGTTGTAAGTGTGGCACTTGGGCTAAGGCTTATATCATTCTGTAGATTTTCTGTTTGTATCGCGTCTATGAGCAAGTTCTCATTGTTGTTTGTAGATGAATAGCTGTTATAGTTGGAGACTGGAGTCGTGAAACAGTTGGATTCGGTTATGGTGTCACTGGATTCCTGCATGTGCCGCTTCTTCCAGACAGGCGTTGTGCACGAGGCATATGCATTAAAGGACATTTCAGCGGCAGTGGTTGCAAATAAATTTTTTAGAGAATATGTTTCACGTTTTGGGGTACCGTTAAAAATCACTACAGATCAGGGTACTCAGTTTATGTCAAAATTGTTTTCGGAACTAACAAAATTGCTTGGTAGTCATCACGNACAAGTTGTTACACTTGGGTTTATATGGGGTTTGTCTGAGAATGAACAGTATTTTAATTGAAAATTCTTAAAAACAAATAAATAAACATAAGTGACAAACAATATCACTTTGAAATGGCGTGCTATAGATATGACCGATACTGTATGTATGTATGTACATTAGGGCATGATAAAAACATAGCAAGGTAGAACCGTTCTCTCAATTTGTCGGCCATGATTTTTTTTTTGAAGTTTGCCAGCATTTTAAAATCATATAAAATTGAAAATAAAAAATTGAAACTGTTCGAAATTGTTGTTGCTTGAGATTGAAAATGAAAATGTGTGTGTGAGTTTGTGAGTAAATTTAAAAATTAAAATGTTTGGAAACGTCAAGAATTTTAAAAGTAACTCTCAGCGGTTCTACCTTACTATATTTTTATCATGCATTAGGGTATATTTTAAAATTTTCGACAAAATATTTTGAAAAAATATTAAGATTTACGTGTGTCCAGCTTTGAATGAGCGATTTGAAAAAACCTAAAAAAATTTCATTATTTTGATTCCGTTAACAAAATGTTCAAACATGTTTATGCACGACTTTAAAGCTTCAACTCTTCTATCATCTAAGGTGATTTTTAGATTTTTTTAAAATTAATTTTATTATATTCAACAATTTTTATTGAGCTTGAGGCCGTATTTAATGAAAAAATATTGTAGAAAAACAACAATAATTTACATTTGGTAAATGTTATAGCGGGCACTGGGATATGATCTAGCGACTTCGGATTACATTTCCCCAGTGAACGCGGTTGAAGAAGTCTGATGAGGAGATGTGGTTATCTCCGAAATAGTAGCTATACTTTTACCAAATGTAAATTACAGTTGTTTTTCCACAACTTTTTTTATTAAATACGGCCTCAAGCCCAATAAAAATTCTTAAATACAATTGTTATTAGGCAAAAAAAATAACAAAACACAAATAAATTAATTTTATTTATAGAAAAGTAGATTTCTTGAGATCTATTAAATTTTTTAATTTCAGTGTAAAATTCGCAACTTTTTTAGTGAGGCCCCCTAATGTACATCCATACAACCGTACATATGTATCTAGTAGTTAGCACGAGTTGCACCGCATGCGTTCTGGTTGGTCGCTCTTTGGCTATAATCAATTGCGAGTAACTAACTGTTCGAATTTCGCTAAATGTACTTGTCCTAATGCTCATACAGGGTGTTAAGCCGACCGGTGTGCTAACCAATTTACCTTTTCATCTCAAATATTAAAATATGTTTGTATATATGTACATTAGGGTGGCGCTTATAAGGGCTTTTTTATGTTTTACCCTTCAGCTTTGTATCAATCCATGGAAAAATTTGCTCTTCAGAATTCAGTCCAGTTCAGAAGTCCATAAAAAGTTTTAGCAAAAAACTAATTGCTGGATTTACATACTCCAGGTATTGAACACAGCACAGGGACACATATCGATTTTTTTAAGTACAAAATTGTTTGAGCAATATTTTTCCTCTTAAAAACAAGCAAAGTACATATGTATATAAGAAAATATAGAATCTAAACCAAAAAAAAAATAAATATATATGAATTTGCTACAACAATCTATGATATCGACAAGGATTCTAAGAATAAAAGGATAGTTATTTACAAACACAAACCACTTTAAGGTTTCCTTTATATATTTTTTTCATTTCATTTAATTCCTCAAGTTTGATATAAAAATAAAAATAAATATTTTGTTTTTGTTTAATTTTAATGGGCCGAAAAAGAAGAAAACATTTTTTATGCAAATGGACTAAACTGAGACGTATCACTCATAAATTAAAATCAAAAACTAAGAGCCATCCTAATGTACATGTCTTTGTACATATACATATGCATTTGCCTGCGCTCAATGAAGCGTTTAATAGACGTGGAAAAGGTAAATGCGCATGTGTGCCCGAATGTACGAAGGCGTTGAAAGGTCTATGAGCCTAAAAGTGAGTGCGTGTCTCTTTTGTTGTTGTTTGTAAAAATGCAAGGGATGTTGCACAGGACACACCATACGGCGCGCGCATTACAGTTGCCAATGCTATTATTATAACCAATTGATGAACAGGTGCCGCTGCGTAGGACTTGAACGTAAACAATTTCCAATGATTCCAGTGGCGACTGGAATGTTAATTCAAAATTTATATGTATGTATTCCAGGATTACATATTATGTATATTTAGGTTTTGAAATTTATTGTACATAATGTTTGTAAAACTATTTGGTTTATAAAAACAAAATTTATACATACATACATACATATGTATATTACTCCANGCAAACATTGCATTTCGAATTTCAAACTTATTTTTACATACCAATGTATGTATATTTAGGTTGGTTTTGGAATTTATTGTACATATTATTTGTAAAAGTATTTTCATTGATTTATACCCTGCAAAAAATTGTGTGACTAATCTCTAAAGAGAGTATTCCGAGATTACTCTCAATCGGGTACAATTGGGCATTAATTAGTCGCAACTAGTCCCATACGGGTACTAATGGAGGTCAATTAGTCTCGACTCATCCCTTATGGGTATAATTGGAGATCAATTAGTCCCCAACTCATCTCTAACGGGTACTATTAACGATTTAATGATATGTACGCTCTTAGTCAATGAAATTTCATGTGCGGCGTTGGCACACAGAGAGAGTATTCGCCTAACAAAACGGAGCACCCCGGTTCGAATCTCAGCTGGCGGAAATTTTTATTTTTATTTTTTAAAAGTGACTAGTCGCTTTTCATACCCTTTCGGGTATGAAGGTGAACAATTAGTCTCTTCATAGGACATGCTCGAACAAAAGCGATCAGTTCATTCCATATAAAGAGATCAAAAGTGGTATTAGTCGCATGCTCCTTTGCGATTGCTCCCGGAGTCATCCCGGATTAGTCCCATTTTTTGCAGGGATTAAAAACAAAATCTATACATACATACATACATATATTACTCCCGGTGGAGAGAATACAGAGGTGGCGCCGATGACGATACCGCTACTCGGCTCTCAGTGATTTTGACAGAATCAGCTGTTTTGGTGACGTCATAGTATAGAAGACAGCAGTAGTGATGTGCTGAGTCAATACTTTTAAGTACCCAATACTCTCGATACTCGGTACCGAAACATTTACGTTTCGAATAAAAGCGCACATAGGCCAAAAATATGGAAAAACGCCTAACAAAACCCGAATAGAGCTTTTTTACTGATTCAAATGAAAGATGTATATATGTCGGTTCGATGCCATAATACAGAGAAACCCTTACTTGTTTAAAGCATTTTTGTTCCAGCTGAATCGGACGATATCATTTTTGTAGGCCTGGGACAGATTCTGTAACCAGTTAACGACAATTTTCGAATCGGTATCGGTTTTGTCGACGTTTGATATCAAATATTTGTAAGTCAACAAGTGCGATATCGATCCGAAACTTGTCGCTAACTGGCTACAGAATCTCTCCCCTGAAAGGCTTCTTCATCGGTCAAAGTATTTTTCTTGAACCTTGGATCGACTAAGGTTAAAACTGATAAAATAATATTTTTCTGTGGCGATAAGTTCAAGTGTTTTAGCCGATATCATATAAATTAGTAATGAAAGTTTTTTCTAAACCTGAAATGCATATAATGGCGAGGGTTTAATGTAAATAATCGGTATCGGATACCGAAAAGGAAATATAGGGTACCGAAATCTTTTTTAAGTATTGGGTACCGAGTATTGGGGACAATTCAGCACATCACTAGTCGCCCTCATTCTCGCCGCTCTCAGTTGTCAACTCTACGATGACGTCACGCTAAAATTACTCTCACGAATTCTGCTGCAATCGGCGCGATCTTGTATTCTATCATTCTTGTATATTACTCCATTAACATAAAGAGATTACATGCCCTTACTACATACAGTGATGGTCAAAACTCTTTGTTGATATTGGTTGTACCTAGCCAGTTCATTCTTGGTAGGTTGATTATTTTATATATGTAATATCTGTAACACGTGTCCTTAAATATTCGGACTATAAACGCGATTTTTCCATACATACATATCTGTGGTCGTATGGAATAGTAGCTTATGTCGAAAAGCTGGCTTTAGTAGCATTCGCAGCATACGATTGCGAATGACTCACTGGTGCCGAGCCGTTAAAGAACTTTTGGCAAATAAACGTGCAAGAAATAGTTCCGATACTAGCAAGTCAATATGTATTCTTATTAAGTCTCATCAAAAAATTCCTTGTCGTTTAAAGAATAAAGGGAATGTCGCATTATACTAAAGCCAGCTTCCAGAAAGGTACTGTCACGCCACCCTATTATATAACTGTCATTTTTAAAAAGGCAAAAGCTAAAATATTTAAAAATGCCCAAAATTGATACTTATAATAATTTCCTTATAAAAGGAATTGTAAACTGACAAAAACGGACTTAAAAATATATATATATATTTTTTTTTGAATTATGGGCGTGGCAAATAAATAGCGATAAAAAGCAAAGTTGGGTAAACCAAATTCCATTATAAGTTCAATATTTCTCGCTCTATTTACAA